CTTAAATTAAAAGACAAGAAGCTATTTGAATTTATATGAATTTTCTTTGATGACTATAAGTGACGTGAACCATATATATATGGGTCTTTGCCTTGAAAATGACCTTACGGTATCATGTACCGTAAGGTCATTTTCAAGGCAAAGAACCCATATCGTATCGGAATGGAATTAGTGTACTGAAAACAACCAAATTAATGGTTTTTTTTTTTGTAAAATTATTATTTAATAATGCCTTAAAAAGATTATATGCTATTTTGTTATAAAATTGGCTGATTTAACTTAATAATTATTATTTTTTAACAATGTATTTAGTTCGCATTTTTCAGAGTTCATTATAAATTTTTGACGTTTCTTAATGTGATCTGCTATCGATAAAGATATTTTAAAATTAATCGAAGTGGGCCCTTGTAATTATTCTGCCAGAAAATTCATTTGTGTAATATATGATTTTAAATTTTAGTCAATCATTGCAACTCTATGAAAAAGGACTGTTGTCAATTTTGTACTTATTAAATTATCACAATTTACGTTTTAATCCTATAAATCATAGAGAAGACACTTGAGAACTTGAGAACGATTCATCTCATCTGTAGAAATATTTACTTTTAAAATTATTTATGTACTCGATTAGTGTTCATATTTACAATTTCTAAACTGAAGTTATATTCAGTATAAGAGTCATCACTAAATGTGTATTTCGAAAAAATAATTAAAACTACGTATTTGCAACATGAGAAAAAGAAACACATGAAAAAAAATCAAACTAAAAGTAAATAAGTACGTATTTAATCAAATAACATGGTGTTTTACATGATGTAGATATGGAAAGTTTTAGTATATTCCTTAGATATTCGAATGCTCACATATAACAATAAAAATTAATGTTGTCTAAAATTTTACGTCATTAAGATTATTTGTAAAAATAAACCTAATACGTATTTGGTTTTAAATTTAATGAATATTGAGTTTTTTGTTTTTTTTTGTAATAAGTATACATTATACAACCTACATTTACTATTACTATTTACAGTAAACTGAAATACAAAACACAGCGATCATACTAATGTAATAGAAAAAAATAAATAAAAATAAATAATAATTCAAATAAAGTCTAGTTTCTATTAGTTAATTTCTCCATATGCACTGGTCTAAATTGTTATTGTTTATTCTAACAAAAATTTCTAAATTCTCTTTTTTCGAACATCAAATTTTCTCCCTAATTAATTATGACCCATATAAAACTTTAGTTATATTTTTTTCGATTTTATATTTGATTTTTATACTGATATTTAATACTTAATAATTCAAGTTCAATGTGTAATTTCCATTATTTATAATTTTAAGTAATTTCAGTTTAAAGTTTATTATGCTTAAAAAAAACTATAAAAAAATTATATCTTATAATTAGCCAATTAATAATGTTTAATCAGGCGTTGTTGAAGATATACTGTAGTTAAAATTTTCAAACCCGAAATCTCTTAAATCGTAAATTCTGAAATAGCAGACATGGGCGTTATTTGAAAATTGCAGCCCCAAAGAATATTATACAGTAGTTAGTTTCAAAATATCGCCCCGGATAACGCGCATTTCATGATCACAATCAAATTTTGAAATTAACCCATTATCTCGAAATAATGCACATGGCGAATTCGAAATAACGCGTAGATGCTATTATTTTTGAATTTACGACATGTGTATTTCTGTCTACGAAATGTAAATGAAACATGTATTCTATGAAATTCTAACTATTTGGATATAACATTCTCTTTAGATTTTTTTTTTTTACTAAATTCCCAGTGTCAAATATTATGTATAATACGTGAAAAGTTCTATTTTATATATTTTTTTAATTTTCACTTCATACAATATTATACAAATATCTTTAGTAGAATCGCCTTTTCTGCATTGAAAGTCCAACAATGTAGATTATAACTGCCAATATTCCAATCCATGATGAATATAAAAACATATTAACGGCTCCAAAATGTCCATATAATAATCCTCCAACGATCTGCCCAAGACCTTTTATACGTACATGAAATAGTCATAATAATTAAAAAGAGAATTTGGGGGTTTTTTTTTGAAAAATCATGTGTTGCTTTAAATACTGACCTGTAGACAAATTTTCTGTAGCTGCAAGTATACCAAGTGCTGTAGCCCTTAGTCTCGGTGGTGACAGTTGTGATATAATTTCTAAAGATGCTGGTTTTACCAGCCCAAATTCAAGTCCTTGAAGCTATTAAATAATAAATATTATAAACATTAATAAAATGGTCATAAGTTGTTAATACTAATAATTATTATTATTATTACCATCTCAATTGGGAGAGATAACCAAGGATTCATACTTGTACCAAAAAACGCATATAACGAAGCTCTAAGAGTAGATATAAGTCCTCCTGCTATAATAATAGTTTCCGGAAACGTAGATTCTAAGATATATTTCCCAAAGTAAAAAACTAATATTTCAAGAGTTACTCCTACAAAGGAGCTTAGTCCCAGCAACGTTACATCAGCTTTAAGGTCCTCTAAATTTTTAAATCATTGTTAGGTCACAAAGTACGTATTTAAAATTTTTTTTTAAAAAAAAATAAAATAAAATAAAATAAAACCTGATAAGAACACATAAAGAAATGCTGACGTTGATGATTTTATCATGCGCGTCGAAAGCAACACGAAAAGAAATAATAGCAACCGTGGTTTTGTGATAAGTTTAAAAATTGCTTCCATGAAAGATGTTGGTTCCGTTACCATGACATTTGTATCTTCAATCTGTGTGAGAGTTTCATTTGAAGTATGTCCGAGTTGATCGAGGTCTATATTGTCTGTAACTAGTTCATCATGATGATCTATCTTAAAATCTCCCAAAGGTGTTAAATATAGAACTAATATAAGAAAGCCCATGAAAAATCCAAAGGCGAAAAACATGACATAAAGTGATTTGAATCTATCTATTATAAATCCAAGCATAGCTATAAAAATCCCACAACTTATGGTCCCGAAAAGACGCTAAATAACATAATAATATAATTAATATAATTAATGATGTTTCAATGTAAATAAGACTAATTAATTACCTGACGTCCAAATTCTGCTATATCACTTTTACGATATAACACATCTGTAATTTATCAAAAACATAGATCTATTAGCAGGACTTTTATAATTATAATAAATGAAAATACATACTTATAGTTAGATTATCAATCAATGGTGAAATTCCCCCATCAATCAACGAATAAATGACAAGGTTGATAAAAAGGCCACCAAAGCCAAAATAATTTCCAGTAAATGGTAAAGACCCATACACAAATATAATACATGTGATACATGAAATCATAATCTTGCGATGTGCATTATGTCTATCTGCAATAATCTTTTAATCGAATATTTTCAAATTAATTAATTTTTTTTCTTTAATCAATTTATATTAATAATTCGTCAAAATAAGTTGAATCTTACACTCCAACAAGGTGAACTAAAGAGTCCCACAAACGGTGTCACGGATAATAATATACCGATATGTGATTTTGGTAATAGAAAAACGGTTGAAAAGAATAAACTAAGAAAAGTACATGAACTATAAGCAGCAAGTAGGAAAAAATAACATAATTTTAATCTAATATAACGAAATGTTAAAAAAGATTGTGAATATCGTAGAGTTTCTTTTTGATTTTGATTAGGATCGATCAAAGAATAAGCTCCTCGAGAAAATGAAAAAGAATTGAAAAATTTTTTGAAAATCCCTTTTGTTTTTATCAAATAGCTCATTGTTTCATACGACAAATTAAACCTAAAACTTCAAGAGCAATAAAAATCATTTTATTAATAAGAATTTTATTTAATAATAACCACAGAATATGGAAATTGATTTAATTACTTTTTATCTACTAGCGCTAGAATGTGCAGATAGAGTCGTTTGTTAAGGCAAATGATTACCGTTATTCTCCCGAGTTAGTTAAAATATATGCAGGTGTGGCTACTTTCTACTAATTAGTGCTACAAACAGGATTTAACTTCTGTACGTACGTGCGTACGTGCATACGTACGTACAGTGTCTGAAATTGGGTTGCGGAGTCTGCGGACCGCAACAAAATTTTAAATTCCCGCAACCAAAATCTGAAGTGTA